GGGGGTGGAGGTAGGGGAAGGGGAGATTAGTAGCAGGTAGGAGACCCTGAGCAGGAAAGTCCACCATGGAGGCCCCAAGGTGTGCCCTGTTCCTGCTGGGGGCAGCCAGCTCACCTGCTGGAGACCTCATACTCCTGGGCATCCACAGCACAGGGCACTCCAGCCACCCTGACTGTGTCCAGCACATCCTGCACATGTTGGCCCAGGTTGGAGCCCCTGATGGTGACACGGGTGCCTCCGTCTATAGGCCCAGTCAGTGGTTCCACCTGTCCCAGGACAAGGACTGCTCACCTCCACCCACCTGGAGAGGTAGCCCCAGCCTCCCACCCTTGCACCCTCCCTCCAAGGGCAGAAGTGAGGAAGGGACATGCCAGCTTTTCTACACACCGAGTGGATGAGGGGTGCAGGGCACTGGGTGGCCACAGCCTCAGTCTCGCCACAGGCCTCCTGGGCCACACAACGTGGATGCTCCCGCTCACACCACACACAGCCGTACTGGGGCATGGCAGTTTGGCAGCGGCTGCAGTCCCCATGTCCCACAGAACAGTCATATAGTACCACTGGGGTGGCAGAGACAAACGTGAGAGGTTGGACTGGAAAAGATCTGCTACAACCAGCCAGTCCCAGCAGCCCCCGGGGTGCTCACCATGCAGCCCCTCAGCTCTGTCCACACGCAGGCGGCCAGCCCGACACAGAAACAGCCCCACACGGAGCTCTGGCTGCAGAGCTTCATAGCTGAGCTGGAGAGATGGGAGTAGGGTCAGACCCTAGGGCTGGGGGAAGCATCAGGCCTGGGGAGGGGGTAGTAAAAAAAGCAAGACTAAAAATGACTAGCTATAGGAGTATAGGGTCAGAGATCAGATTAGGGCACAGGGACCCCATGGGGCCACAAGGTTGGAAATCAGAGGTAGAATTGGAGTGTAGGGACCCCCATAGGGTCTTGAATTAGAAATCAGAGCTGGGATGCAGGGACTCCATGGGGCACACAGTCAGAAAAGGAATACTGAGACTACTTTGGGTGACAGGGTCAGAGCTTGTGCTTGGACACGTATGGTGCAGCCAGCTATGGCTGGGAACAGCCCGCGGCCAGTGCACCCTTGCCCACCCAGACACTCATGGTCTGCACCTGGTGTTGCTGGCAGGTGATGTGGCACTGGGTATCTGGAGGTGGTTCACACTCAACCCGGGCTTTAACCACCACCTCGAGGCCTTCCAGCTCCATCACACACTCATTGTCTCCTGGGCTGTCCTGGGGGCAGAGAGCATAGCTGTTGGGGAAGCTTAGGAAGGTGGACCCAGTGAGTCCTGCAGGTCCCCCAGTGTAGCCTCTGGGTTGGGATTGAACCCTGGGGTCATGCCCTCTTCCTGCTTCCCGGGGCTTGTGTATAGTAAGTCAATAGCCAAAGAGGCTGCAAGGACAGTGGCAGGCAGGACACACTCACCTGGTAAAGGTGCAGGTTCTTGCCTAGCAGCCGGACTTCCCGCTCCACGTGGACTGGCATCAGTGTGGAGCCCAGAACACTTTCCACACAGGGGCAAGAGCTTGCCCCCCAACTGACCTCTTCCTGCAGCACCAAGAGCAAGGTAGTCTATAGAGCCCGCCTTGCCCACCCAAGCCCTCTGCTTGCTGGATTCCAGGGGCCAGGCCAGCATGAGTTTGCAGTTCCCACCCTGCCCCTTGCCTTCTCCCAAAGCAGAATCGCAAGGCAAGCAAGGGGCTGCGTCTTCCCCACATCCCCTCCTCTGAGCCCCCTTTCTTGGGCTGGGTCTTACCAGCTCCCAGAGCCCGGTGGTGTCATACTGATAGTCAAGGCTGGACAGGAGGATGAGAGGGGCAGGAGGGCCCTCATGCTCTGCTGAGTCTCCATCACCTGAGAGGAGGGTGGAAGTGGAGAAGGTGGGCGCGTCACCCCCCGTCCACTCGTCCACCTCGGGCAGCTCTCCGCCTTCTCTCATGAGCCAGTCCAGAGCGGGCTTCGTGGAGCCCGCGGCCCCTGGGAAAGTGGTGGCAGGAGCAGTGCTGGGGGGCTGGTCCAGGGGTACCACAGAGGGAAGGGCCTCAGGGCCAGGGTCTGCAGGGGGCACTGCTGTTGCCTCTGAAGGTGATGGAGGGGAGGCCAAGAGGTCCTCAGGTGTGGCTGTGGGTCTGAAGTCAGTGGGGGCAGGGACAATGGTTCCAGGTCTGTTGGGAGGGTTAGGAGGAGAGGGCTTCTTGTGGAGAGGTAGTTCTGTAGAGGTGGGGGAAGACATGGGGCCGGGACCTGCCCACGGCTCCCAGGGGCTGGGCAGGGAAGGCCTGGCACCAGGTGAGACATCTGAGGCTGTGGCTGTGGAGGGAGCCCCAGGCTCCACAGGAAGAGTGTCAGGAGCAGGGGTGACCAGGGCTTTGGGGGCTGCGGGTGGGAAGGAGGTGGGCACGTCTCTTGCAGGAGGGGCTAGGAGGAGAAGTGGGTTCTGAAGGGGAAGGTAGAGAAAGACAGGAAGGGCCACTCAGCAGGCAGGCACGGGAGCAGGAGGCAGGCAGGCAAAGGGTATGTTAAGAGGAAAGGAGACCAAGGAAAAGAGAAACAAAAACAGCCCATTAATTCTCCAAAGGAGAAAAGGGGAGGGCAGGCTCCAGGGGTGTCTGTGCTGAGCTGGGACATGAGGCCAGACCTCCCCTGCCTCTCAGCTACAAAATTCCTCTCCCAAAACAGGCGGGACGTATTGGTGGCCATTCTCCAGTGAGTCCATCGCACATAGGTGCTCAGGACAGAGGCTCACATGAGCAAGCAGGCACACAGACCCCGGGCCATCAGAAAAACCCTCACACTGGGAACCCCACGCCCCCCATGTGCCCCAGCCTAGAGTCACACTCACCTGTTGGTTCACCACCATCGGCCCGGCATCACACGAGGCTTTGTGTGTGCACAGGTGTTGCCAGACACACCAGTTACATCCCCAACGGCTGCTCACGCAGGCCTGGCACCTGCACAGAGCACAGCCATGGGGCAGAGGTCGCCATGGGGCAGCCCAGGGTTGGGGGAAAGGGTGAGGAACTCACTGCGCAGATGGGTGGAGCTCAGTGACTGCTACACAGTCATAGAAGGAGAGGGAAGCTTTGGCAATCACGACAGCACCAAACCTGAGCTCCACACTCACAGAGATGTGGTCTGCAAAGGGGAGAGAGGGCCAGAGCTGAGCAGTGGGGAAGCATGCCCAGACCCGGTGCTGACATCCTGAGACCTCAGATGGGGAGGACAACCGAGGGTCAGCGAACATAGTACATGAGACACAGAATGGAGACTGTGGGCAGCCAACAACCAGTGAGAGGACTCAGAGGAAGGCATCCACTTATGGTTCGTTGCCTGAGTTCACACCTCACCCAGATCACATCTCTTGCAGCAGGGTGGGGCTCCCAAGCCCCAGAACTGACCCCTTCTCTCACCCACCGGCTCCTCTCTGCAGCACTGGGGCCTCACTAGGGTCTGGAGAAGGGCACTTCACCCCAGAATCGGTCAGCAAGGCAGGACTCTGATGTTCCCCAAAATGGCAGGAATATGACTCCCCTGGCCATAGGAGTGGCAAGTCTGGCACTGATAGGAAAACCTGCCAAGAGAGCCCAGGATACACTGTTGAGGCCATCGTGCAGCAGACCAGAGCTCACATTTACACAGCACCCAATGTGGGCAGGCACCGGCACCACCAGCACCCAAGCCTTCACAAACACCTTCTGGCCTGAGTTAGTAACAGATGAAGAAATTGAAGTCCAAGAGAAGTAACTTGTGAGAGGCCAGGTGGTATTTGTTATACCTGATGCAAAAACCCAAAATCTCTACCCAGAGTTTGTTCCCCAGAGCCCTCCCCACCAGGGCCCCAACTGTTTGGTCCTTCACCTCCCTCTTTTCCTGTCGGCTGATGTTGGTAGGACTCATGGCTACCACCTGCAGACAGCCTGGCTCAGGTTGGAAGCTCCACAGCCACTGCTTTGGGCCCCGGCCCCTCGAGCACTCAGAACGGCGGCTGCACCTGAGTGAGAATGCCCAGTGTCTGTCTGTGACCCTCAGGCTGCCAGTGGGAACTCTTAGGGCAGGGAGACTTAAGCAATCCTGAGGACCCAAGCAGAGCGTGAGTGGGGCATGATACCAGGCTCCCATGTCTGCCCTGGCTGAAAGATGGGGATGGGCATTGGACATCTGGGGATCAAGAACTGGGAGTCAAGGGCCAAGGATGGAATCCTTGATGGAACCATTATGCAGGAGCATTGTGGGCTTGAGGCTGGGGTTGGGAGGAGATCAAGAGTCAAGGGAGCACTAACCTGCCAAGGAGCACACACCACCCACAGTAGGGGTCCCTGTGAGCAAGGCAGGATGCACAGTCCAGGTGCTGAGCACAGGAGGCCACAGGAACTTTCAGAAGCTGTGACAGCAAAGAGGACCTGAGGCTAGCAATCCAAACACCAGCAGTATACCCACAAATGGGTCCCTGGTCTCACCCAGACGCTCCTCCCAGCAGCCATGCCCTGTCTCATGCCTGGTACTCACTGTGTTCTGGGTCATGACATACAGGTGCTCGAAGGTCCCATCAAAGATGAGGTCTCTGTTCACGGCAGATCCCTGCTGGATGCTCTGTGTGGAGTATGGGTGGCCATCGCTCCCTGCGCCCAAGTAGACCTGGGATCAGAGACCAGAGGGTCTGGGACTGGAGTCCATGGCCACAGGGCCAAGGTCCTCTCTATCCCTCAACAACTGAAGCAATTTCCTCCTAGGTCATCACAGATCATACCAACTGGACCCAGTCTGGGAAGAGGAACACAGGTCATCTCTCCCAGTCTTGGGGTCACAGGCCAGGTTTCTAGCAGCCTATCCCCTCAGACCCTAGGATAGAGCCAGCACTCCCTGTGGGCTCACCCTGTGCAGTTGCCCTTGACTATCACCCAGGAAAGCAATGGTGTGTCCATCCTCCATGGTGACTGCCACAGCTGTTAGCTGAACCCCTGGCCACTCCAGAACTGGTGTGGCTTCCAGAGGGACCCGGCTGGCTATGGGGCTAGGCGTATGGTCTGAGCCACAGGGATAAGTATCCAAGGTGTCCTGCAGACGGTAAGAAGCATCAATAAGGTCCTCCCCCTGGATAATTTCCCCCTTCCTGGACGGGCTCATCCTTGCTCCCATCTGCTCTTGCATGTTCTCCCTGCTGGCCCATCTGGGACAACCCTGCCCTGCACATCTCCCACAGCCCACCCTTAGCTCTGCCACAGTGGACTATCTCCAACTGCCTTGGACAGTTTCTAGTGGTTCCTTTCCCGTTTTGATCCCCACCTCTGCCTGTGGCCCTCTCTTCTCCCATCCCTGGCCTGGGAGCAGCTTCCTGCAGTTTATGTGGCTAGCCTGTTCCTGGACCTTCTCCAAAGCCACTCACGGCTTGCGTTCTCATCTACAAGTCCACTTAACAGGGACCCTCTCCCACCTTGCACTGACTCAGTGTCCTGTGTGCAGCTCCTTCCCTTTCTTATCCATCCTGAGGCTGCAGCCAATCAAGTCCCAAACTCACCCTCTTCTCTTGTTTAAGAACCTAAAACAATGGGTCTCATCCCAACACTCTGGGTCCCTGCCCCTACGTGAGAACCCAAATACCCCATCAGTCCATCTGCATAAATGCCACCCCTTCAGCACACTGTTCCAGTCCCATCCCCAAACTGCTGTCACTGAATGCCACATCTGTAGAAAGGTACCCTTTCATCACCTAGGCACAAAAGAACCACTTAACATCTGCTGTCCTGGTCATCCCCCACTACCACCAGTTTCCCATCAGATCCCTGGGGGCTGTTTGGCTGCCAATGCCTGGTCAGTGGCCTCAGAGATGGGGAAAGACCGGGGCAATGCTGGAACTCACCACTGGCAGCTGTGCACAGTCAGAATTGACATCATATTCGATGTAGGCCACCTCAGTCCCATCCATAGCACGGCCCTCCCAGGCGTAGCAGGCATCTCGTGTGCGATTAGCAAGCCGGTCCACCTCATCCAGGGGGAAGGCACAGAGGGCAGAAGCCCCAGATGCTCCGGAAACCACCAGTGGGGGCCGGCCCATAGTGGAGGGAACAGCCAAGGAGAAGATAGCAAAGAGCACCTCCCCACGGGCCACCTCCCTGGATGTGGCCACAGCTGTGGCCTGTACCAGCCCATAACGGCCACCAAGGCAGGTCAGAGGCAACTCCACATAGGAATAGTAGTGTTGGTCCCGGAGGCACATTCGAGACAGATAGGTACGGAAGGCTCTAGACTGAGCCTGCAGGTCCCGCCGCATGAACAGGAAGTAGGCGCTGGCCCGGTGTGCAAAGGCACTCACGAAGTGGTGGTTGTACTCAGAGGGGTGGCCCACTGCCAGCTTGGCTGTCTCCTCGTAGGAGAAGACAGCTTGGGGGTCTAGTGGCTGTAGAGCCCGGGTTGTGATGGGTGGGATGCCACCCCCTGCTCCCTTGGTGGTGTCTCCTCGCCCCACAAGCAAGAGGGGCTCCCCTGCCAAGCCCTGGGTTACCAGTCCCACTGTTCTGACTGCAGGATCATTGGCGGCCACATACTGGCTGTCTCCAGGCTGCTCTGGCCGCAGCAGCAGCTCCCCGATCTGCCCCAGACGCCGCTGCTCACAGATTCCCTGGTGTACACTTCCACACACTACCAGGGCCCCTGGGCTCACCAGGAGCAGCTGGTTTGGGTTGTTGGTAAGCTGGGCCTGGGGGCACTTAGTAGGTATCACGGGTGGCAGGCAGTCCCTGCTGTCTAACACAGGGCCAGTAGAGACCTTGGCCTCCAGCTGTAGCCTAGGGCTCAGCTGAAACAGGAAGTTGGTGGCTCCTAGATAGAGGGTGCCTGAAGTGGGGTCCCTCACCAGGTGCTGCAGATGCGTGCCATTGGGAGTGAAAGCAGCTGTTGGAGGGGGCGGAAGGGTAAGGACCCAACCGGTCCAGAGTGCCTGGAGAAGTGCTGGGCCGAGGACAGGCATGGTCACCTGGCAGGGAGAGAGATGGAATGGGGCTCACATGGCCACTAAGAACCTTGGGGACACTGGTAAGGGTCAGGGCTGTGGCAATGCCAAGATGCCCCTCCTAACTTAGGATTGAAAAGAGGAAGACCAGGCTTCTTTACATGGGCACTGTGGTCCAGGATGACCCTAGGACCACACAGTAGCAAGGGGTCAGAAACAGGAAATACTTTCTGTGGAAACTTAAATGCTGCCCATTCTCGGCAAGCACTATTTTCTGGAGACCCACACCCCACTCCACCCTCCCCCTGTAATACCCTGTTTCACCACAAGGATCAAAGGGTGAGGGCCTATAGGGTCTACTCCCAGGGAACAGGGCCTGAAAGGGACCAGAGAGCAGGTGGGAGGGAGAGACAGGGATGTGATTTCATGGACAGAAGGTGAGGTCTCATGGCGAGTGACATGTCACAGCAAGATAAGAACTGGGTTTAGGGCCTTTCAGTCCAGGAATCCAGATGGGTGATAACCACAGAACCAACAGGCTTGTGAGAAGAAGGAGGTTCTGGTAGGGAGGGGCGAGTCCTATAGGGCTGGGTCCCGCCTTTCGGAGGGCCTTGATCTTACCTAGGAGTCACACTGTTCCTAGATATCTAGGCATAAGGTCAGACTCACCTCACAGGACCGGGTGGATCAGAAGACAACAGCATGACCTGTGTGGGAGTCACCTAGCCAGGGGAAAGCAAAGTGTGAAGGGAGACAGCATAAAAGTACCCCCTCCCCACACCCAGGCTGCTGGTGGAGCCAGGCCCAGCCTGGCTTTCAGCCACCAAACACATTCCACAGAGGACGCCTCCTCAGAGCCCACATGAGGAGGGGGAGGGCAGCAGAGCCACCGGAGGGGCCTGGGAAAGGTCAGCTAGGAAGGAGCCCCACGGCTGGCAGGTCCAAGTCAGGCCCCCAGCACGGCCCTCTCCCTGTGAGGTTGCTCCCTTCACCCTAACCCTACTCTGTCAAGGCACCCAGGTACATGTTTTCCACACAGGTCAGGGACTGTCCTAGCCCAAATGGCCACCACCACATTAGCAGATAAGCACTCACACATACCAAGGTGCATACACACCACACACCCTGCATACACCCACACACAAACATATGGGCACTTGCCCCCACACACAGATGCATATAGATACAATATGTGACACACAGCATATGACACACAGCATATGACACACACACAGAAACACGTGCAGACAGCATAAAGACATATACATATAGTGACAACACACACAGGTCACACCCACCCACCAGAGGCATACACACCACCAGCCACATTTAGACACCCACACACACAGATTCATACACACTTTCCTAGTTAAGCCCTAATCCCTAGAGAACTGTGGAAGCCAGGCCATCTCTTGCTATTCCCTCTCCTGCAGATCATAGTAGTGCCAGGGTCCAGTATGCAGGGTAAGTGGCACTGGAGGAAGTGTCACCACGCCAGCTGTGCCTCGCATCCCCAGGACTCCCTAGACTGTGGGTACCTGCTCTCTTCACAGACCCCTCCTTGGGTACCAGCTGAGGCTTCTGAGTCTCAGAAGCAAGAAACCATGGCAACACCACCTTCCCCAGGCCCCAGCAGTCTCTAGCCATAAGTACCAAGGCTAGTGAAGTGCTGGGACAACTCAAACATCCCAGACTGGGAGATATTTCCCCCACTAGCCTGTGTCCAGGCCATGCTGTGCAGCCCCTCCCACTATCCAGTTGCCAAGCTGTCTGTGCAGAATGTCCCCAGAGCTTGCTTCTCTCAGCTCGGGTTGGCTCGTCCCAGCAAAGGCCTGAGCAGGGTACTTCTGAGGCTGCCCCAAAGTGAGCAGGGCTGGGCACAAGGCTCAGAGGAGAGTTTAGCAGCCTGGTGGGAGCAGGGACACTGTGGCCACAGCCCAGTGGGAGCAGGGGGGCCGTGGCCACAGCCTGGCTGGGCACTGCTCCCGAAATAGCTAGGGGGTTTCCATTTTTAGTGTGCAGAGAACAGGGCAGCTCTATGGGAGCAGGAACAAGGCTGCCTCTGTTTGCCACCCAAGGGGGCGGGAGGGAAGGGGGCAACAGGGAAAGTCTTGAACCCAGCCAGAATCCCAGGACTGTGGCAAGGTCAGGCTGCCAACGAGCCCCCCACCTAGTTTCCAAGGGATGAGAAAAGAAAGTTTCTTCCTCTGGGAAGACAGGGCCTGCCTAAGGATGGGCAGAGGCCACCTCCTGCACTCAGTTACTGCTCACTCCTCTTGCCACCTCATGCCACGGATGTGCCTTGGGCATAGGGTCCCATAGTTAGACCAACATCTACTCATTTGCTTACAAATATTTGTTCAGAGACTGCTGCATGCCAAGGCTCTTCAGCCCTCAAGGGGCAGCAACAAAGCCCCTACCCAAAGGCAAAATCACAACTGGATTGAGGAGCCCACAGGAAGAAATGGACAGGATCAGAACAGCTACAAGCCAGGCCACATGGGAGGTCGGAGGCTGACCCATCCCAGAGAAAACAGTCAGGTTTCTTCAATCACAGTACTCCTGTGAAACAGGGCCTAGTGTCCCTTCCCCTTCCCCACATCCCATGGGCTGGCGAAGGAAAGAAGGATGGTGACCTTTTCTCCTCTGTTTTGGGGACGTGTATTTCACTTAACCTCTGCCACAGGGCACGGAACTGCTCCCAGCCCCTCTATTCTAGCGCCCCTCCCCCAACTCCACAGTATTTTCCTTGAGCAGAATTGGGGTATACTCCTTCCCGAGAGCCTCTGGAGCACCTCTGGGCTGGAGGGATAAAGGCCCAGCCCCCTCCAGTGCACACTTCTTCCACCGGATCCATGCCAATGCTCCCCCACACATGCCCTTCGTTCCTGGCGGCCTGTACGGCAGGCTGTTTCACTCCTCCAGTCGCCACACAGGCTCTTCCCACTGCCTGGAATGCCCACTCCCTTTCTGTCCCATTAACCCCTACGTCCGATCATCTCCCTGGAGGGCCTCCCCTGTCCTCCAGGCTCCTGAGGAGACTGCTAGATGTGTGGATGGAGTGGACATACCCAGTCACCAGCTGGCATGTACCGCAGCTCAGCCTTGGGCTCTCTGAGCCTCAGATTTCCCATTTGCAGAATGGGAGACAGGATTGCTCTGACCAGTGAACATGATATAGTGTGTGCCTGGCATTAGTGGCACCAACCAAGACCACTCTTATCCCTGTTCCACTCTCCCATTCTAGACTTGAAGCTCCTTGAAGACAGGGAATGTGGCTTTTAATTTGGAAGTCCCAGCAACTCACACAGAAGTTAGCACAGAGCAGGTGCTCACTTCATGGTGAATGAACCCCCATTTCACAGCCAAGGAAAACCAGTCAGGTGGGGGAGATATGCCCCTCTCCAAGTCATTTTTTCCTTCACAGACATTGTCCCATTCTTATTAAGGCCAGAGCAGGCTGATTTGGAGCCAGGCCTCATATCCCCAACATGCATAGCCAGGATCTCCTGCCCACTCGCCACATCTCAGGCACTGTCCAAGCTCACAGCCAAAGCCTAACTCAGACCTGCTCGGAGGTCTCTTCTGGGACCACCCTTCTCTGAAACTCTTCAGTAGGGCCCAAGACTGCCTAACTTATATCTTCAAAGATCAAGTTCCTCCCGGATGCACCAGAGCTGTCCTCATCAGCCAAAGGGGCGCGCAGACACGGCCCTTCCACACCTGCAGAGGGGCCACACCACATTCACCCTGTCTGGCAGGCAGTTAATGGGATATTAGCCTTCCCTTTCCACCCTCCTGCTCGACTCCTAGGGTCCACCAGAGACGAGTTACTCATGGACAGTGCAGTCGTGCACGTTGCACGCCGTTCTCTGTGTATTAGGGTGGGGTGGGGAGATCCACCGTTTACCAAGCACCTGTGATGACCCAAGGCGCTCAACAATCACCCACCGAATGCGTCTGTGTATGGAGAGGCGGGTCCCTTTCTGAGTATCTGGAGGCTCGAGGTCCACCTTTGTCAGTTCCGCCAAGCACACTCAGGGAGGGCTGTTACTACTTGAGGGGAAACCTTGACCTCCCCATTCGGCTCTTCCCCAAGTCTCCTTGCTACCCCCAGACCGCGAGGCGAGGACCCCACTAGCGGCCCTGGGAGGGCGGGGAGGGGCAGGCCGGCCCCCGGCAGCGGCGAGGAGGGGGCGCAGAGGAGCAGCTCCACCTCCTCGGTCTCCCAATCGCGTTTCAGGCAGAGCAGCCAGAGTTTTCCTTCGCGCGGAGAAGTGCGGTTCCAACTCTGGACCGAGGCCGCCCACCACTCGACCGGGCTGCC